TGTTAATTGTGTTTGCTTTCATTCGTTATTGGACCTTGTGGTATCACTCAGTATTATAGCTAAATCGTTGTGAATTAGAGCTTTAGACAGTGTTAATGCTCTTTTATGGTTTTATCCACTTTTCACCTCTCTGCTTTCACCACATGAGACTTGAACTCGAAACAATATGGATTTGATTTTGTTGTTTTTGCACAGGGCTTTCATTCCGGACAACTGAAGATACCTTACGGGATACATTTGAACAGTTTGGCAAGCTTGTACACAGTAAGCATAAAGCTCACTTTTGTTCTACTTCTACCCACATTCTACAAGTGTGTAACTCATGTTCTTGCATGCGTCCCCTCGTGTAGTGAACTTGGTGATGGATAAGGTAGCTAATAGACCAAAAGGTTTTGCCTTCCTACGGTATGACACAGAGGAGGAGGCTATGAAAGCTATTGAAGGGATGCACGGAAAGGTATACAGCTTAATATCACAGACTTAACTTCATACTTCAAATCGTTTTACTGGTGATTGATAACAAGATATTGGTTAATAGCAAATTATGATTTGGTGTTTATACAGTTTTCGGATGGAAGGGTTATATTCGTAGAAGAAGCTAAAAGCAGATCAGATATCTCCAGAGGTAAACCCAGACCAGACTACCCCAAAGCTCAATCAAAACCTCGCACCTTTCGTACGTGGTAGCTGTTTTGATTCTGTCTTCATACTGTGTAATGAATTGTAAAATTTTGATCTACCTTCTTAGATTATACAATGGAGTCACTTGTCAACTCCTACCATGGTTTTACTAGTCTAAACTAAAATTAACATTTTTAAAAATAACATTTGCCATGTCAAAAAATGCATAATATAGCCTTCAAAATATATTTTTCCTTACGATTAATAAGTTTACTTATGAATCACAGTTTGTGATAGAAAATAATTTCAAATCAAAAATTAGGCTTTACCTATGTTGACGAATCAATGATAATGTAGCAGATGACAAAAAAAAAAAAAAGATTACTTATTCTTTTCAGAATCTACCTACATTATTTGTGTTAATTATATTGGTCCAATTTACAAAAAAAAAAACGTATATGTGAAGTACCAAAATTACCCTAAATAAATCAAAGTTTTGTGTAGTAAGTTGAGGGGATAGGGTCCGGCGAAGAAGGAGAAGATGACAATGGCAGTGAGCTTAGGGATAGTTGTCGTTCCGTCGTGTTCCGGAGATCGCGTCTTCCGATCTAACTTCTCGCCCGTCTGTAGCGTCTCTTGCGGCCGAATCAATGTCGGAACCGTCGTAATTTCGACTCGCCGACGCCGTGATATGGGCGGGTTAATGATTTCTAGCTGTATCTCTTCGGATTCTTCTTCTTCTTCGTCATCGTCTTCCTCTGTGCCAAAGACGAAACTCTTTGTTAGTGGTAAGTAAGTTTTATGTTTCCAGTTTCTTCATCTGCTCATCACCCTAATTCGTGAAAGATGCTTCTGTTATGGAATTTTCGTGTTATATACTCTGTGATTCTTTTAGTGTTTCGTTAAGTAGTATTCAATTATATTATGCGGCTGTTCACTGAGGATACAGACATTGAGCGCAACCCTGTCATTTTCTTTGATAAACTTAGAAGTTAAGATATCTCCAAAACCTTAAGAGCGATGACATTTGTGGCGCTTGCTTGTCACCAATTACATAGTTAACAATTTTACATGTTAAAATCCTTTGTTGGGTGTTTAAAAATGTAGAGTGAAAGGTATGACAAACTTATCCAGGGTGTAGAACCTTTCAGTTTGTTGTGGTATAGCCTGACTCCTTGAGGAAATGTCTCTGTTTGGTTTCTTTCAGGAATAGGTCTGAAATCGGAGACTATTAGAGTTACTTTTTATATGTTTACAGTGTTTGTACCTAAGACATTGTCAGATTTGTTGTAAAGACAGGGAATGATTTTGGTTGGTGTGGAAGTAGAATAAATGGGTGTGAAGTTTTGAACTTCTGATGATCTGGGGAGATTGATATCTTTATTGTGTTAATTGTGTTTGCTTTCATTCGTTATTGGACCTTGTGGTATCACTCAGTATTATAGCTAAATCGTTGTGAATTAGAGCTTTAGACAGTGTTAATGCTCTTTTATGGTTTTATCCACTTTTCACCTCTCTGCTTTCACCACATGAGACTTGAACTCGAAACAATATGGACTTGATTTTGTTGTTTTTGCACAGGGCTTTCATTCCGAACAACTGAAGATACCTTACGGGATACATTTGAACAGTTTGGCAAGCTTGTACACAGTAAGCATAAAGCTCACTTTTGTTCTACTTCTGTCCACATTCTACAAGTGTGTAACTCATGTTCTTGCATGCGTCCCCTCGTGTAGTGAACTTGGTGATGGATAAGGTAGCTAATAGACCAAAAGGTTTTGCCTTCCTACGGTATGACACAGAGGAGGAGGCTATGAAAGCTATTGAAGGGATGCACGGAAAGGTATACAGCTTAATATCACAGACTTAACTTCATACTTCAAATCGTTTTACTGGTGATTGATAACAAGATATTGGTTAATAGCAAATTCTGATTTGGTGTTTATACAGTTTTTGGATGGAAGGGTTATATTCGTAGAAGAAGCTAAAAGCAGATCAGATATCTCCAGAGGTAAACCCAGACCAGACTACCCCAAAGCTCAATCAAAACCTCGCACCTTTCGTACGTGGTAGCTGTTTTGATTCTGTCTTCATACTGTGTAATGAATTGTAAAATTTTGATCTACCTTCTTAGATTATACAATGGAGTCACTTGTCAACTCCTACCATGGTTTTACTAGTCTAAACTAAAATTAACATTTTTAAAAATAACATTTGCCATGTCAAAAAATGCATAATATAGCCTTCAAAATATATTTTTCCTTACGATTAATAATTTTACTTATGAATCACAGTTTGTGATAGAAAATAATTTCAAATCAAAAATTAGGCTTTACCTATGTTGACGAATCAATGATAATGTAGCAGATGACAAAAAAAAAAAAATATTACTTATTCTTTTCAGAATCTACCTACATTATTTGTGTTAATTATATTGGTCCAATTTACCAAAAAAAAAAACGTATATGTGAAGTACCAAAATTACCCTCAATAAATCAAAGTTTTGTGTAGTAAGTTGAGGGGATAGGGTCCGGCGAAGAAGGAGAAGATGACAATGGCAGTGAGCTTAGGGATAGTTGTCGTTCCGTCGTGTTCCGGAGATCGCCTCTTCCGATCTAACTTCTCGGCCGTCTGTAGCGTCTCTTGCGGCCGAATCAATGTCGGAACCGTCGTAATTTCGACTCGCCGACGCCGTGATATGGGCGGGTTAATGATTTCTAGCTGTATCTCTTCGGATTCTTCTTCTTCTTCGTCATCGTCTTCCTCTGTGCCAAAGACGAAACTCTTTGTTAGTGGTAAGTAAGTTTTATGTTTCCAGTTTCTTCATCTGCTCATCACCCCAATTCGTGAAAGATGCTTCTGTTATGGAATTTTGTTGTTATATACTCTGTGATTCTTTTAGTGTTTCGTTAAGTAGTATTCAATTAAATTCTGCGGCTGTTCACTGAGGATATAGACATTGAGAGCAACCCTGTCATTTTCTTTGATAAACTTAGAAGTTAGGATATCTCCAAAACCTTAAGAGCGATGACATTTGTGGCGCTTGCTTGTCACCAATTACATAGTTAACAATTTTACATGTTAAAATCCTTTGTTGGGTGTTTAAAAATGTAGAGTGAAAGGTATGACAAACTTTTCCAGGGTGTAGAACCTTTCAGTTTGTTGTGGTATAGCCTGACTCCTTGAGGAAATGTCTCTGTTTGGTTTCTTTCAGGAATAGGTCTGAAATCGGAGACTATTAGAGTTACTTTTTATATGTTTACAGTGTTTGTACCTAAGACATTGTCAGATTTGTTGTAAAGACAGGGAATGATTTTGGTTGGTGTGGAAGTAGAATAAATGGGTGTGAAGTTTTGAACTTCTGATGATCTGGGGAGATTGATATCTTTATTGTGTTAATTGTGTTTGCTTTCATTCGTTATTGGACCTTGTGGTATCACTCAGTATTATAGCTAAATCGTTGTGAATTAGAGCTTTAGACAGTGTTAATGCTCTTTTATGGTTTTATCCACTTTTCACCTCTCTGCTTTCACCACATGAGACTTGAACTCGAAACAATATGGACTTGATTTTGTTGTTTTTGCACAGGGCTTTCATTCCGGACAACTGAAGATACCTTACGGGATACATTTGAACAGTTTGGCAAGCTTGTACACAGTAAGCATAAAGCTCACTTTTGTTCTACTTCTGTCCACATTCTACAAGTGTGTAACTCATGTTCTTGCCTGCGTCCCCTCGTGTAGTGAACTTGGTGATGGATAAGGTAGCTAATAGACCAAAAGGTTTTGCCTTCCTACGATATGACACAGAGGAGGAGGCTATGAAAGCTATTGAAGGGATGCACGGAAAGGTATACAGCTTAATATCACAGACTTAACTTCATACTTCAAATCGTTTTACTGGTGATTGATAACAAGATATTGGTTAATAGCAAATTCTGATTTGGTGTTTATACAGTTTTTGGATGGAAGGGTTATATTCGTAGAAGAAGCTAAAAGCAGATCAGATATCTCCAGAGGTAAACCCAGACCAGACTACCCCAAAGCTCACAGACTACCCCAAAGCTCAATCAAAACCTCGCACCTTTCGTACGTGGTAGCTGTTTTGATTCTGTGTTCATACTGTGTAATGAATTGTAAAATTTTGATCTACCTTCTTAGATTATACAATGGAGTCACTTGTCAACTCCTACTATGGTTTTACTAGTCTAAACTAAAATTAACATTTTTAAAAATAACATTTGCCATGTCAAAAAATGCATAATATAGCCTTCAAAATATATTTTTCCTTACGATTAATAATTTTACTTATGAATCACAGTTTGTGATAGAAAATAATTTTAAATCAAAAATTAGGCTTTACCTATGTTGACGAATCAATGATAATGTAGCAGATGACAAAAAAAAAAAAATATTACTTATTCTTTTCAGAATCTACCTACATTATTTGTGTTAATTATATTGGTCCAATTTACCAAAAAAAAAACGTATATGTGAAGTACCAAAATTACCCTCAATAAATCAAAGTTTTGTGTAGTAAGTTGAGGGGATAGGGTCCGGCGAAGAAGGAGAAGATGACAAT